TGAGTGTTACATCCGACATTGAAAGGTTGGCACTGCTTTTACTCTAACGAAATTCAGAGAATCAGGTAGCTTGTGTGAGCTGTGGAACTGTTCTGATGAAGACGTTAAGCTAGCTACTTTGAATCTCCTAAAGAATATACAGTCGGCTGGGAAACGATTAACAAAATTGCCACCAAAGCTGATGATAACCATGAAACTAGAGTATTACAGCGAAGGTAGGTGTTTAAGTGTGAAAAGTTTACCGTAGCATTATGGTTTATTCACCGCAGTTCTTCAGATGTACTGAACACTGGTGATCTGTGTTTTACCGTCATTGTCTCATATCTTCCCAAAACAAAATAGTGTTCAATTATCCAGTGAACCGTTATCTTTTTAAAAGGCTGTCTATGTTGAACAAATTCAAAAGTAACTGACTGCTCGTATTATGAAGCCTAAAGATATGTTTGGTAAAACCCTGCCCATAGTTAGTCTTAATAAGCCTTTATGTACCGCCTTAAATATTACTAATAACTCCTAGTTGTATGAACGGATATTAACTAAAATTATTACTGGTGACATGTGCTTTCTGTATTAAGGTATCTTAACCAAAAGAAACCGATGACGCATATGATAATTACGAGCAAAGCAAAAAACAAAAGACATGAAGTTCGAAAGGTCGTATTTAGTTATAATCCCCAGAATCCAATACATAAACAAAACTAGATTTCATTATTAGTGCGGTCTTGATGTAGAAGATAACTATGGGAAAGATTAAATCAAACTTCATGCTGTATACACTAAGTTTAATTTCAGATACTCCCAGAACTAGTTCTGACACAAACACTTGGGAACTGCGAAAGTACAAGTAGAACAACGTGAAAGCTTTGGTGAAACTCTAGAACTAAAAAAGATGAACTAAGGTGAAAAAACAGCCAAAGAATAAAATTCATTCTCAAATATACTCAGACTGCATTACAGATATTTATAGCTTGGCTGCAGCCTGGCGCAGAAAACAGTCTTCTGTACAGTCTTCTGTACGAGACTGAAACAGTTTAGCCAGTTTCTGCAACACACATTATGCCAAATTTTTAATACTATGTTGTTGTGAAGTAAACTGGAGTTCTTTGTTTGCCTTAAAAGCAAATGAGTCAACTCTTCGTTTACCTCCCGATTGATAGCCTTTACCTTGACTTGGTAGTCGAGTATGTGTGTCAGAATGACTCAGCCAGCTACACTGGCAGCGATATTTGACATCTCGTGGTCCTTCCATGCGAAAAAGTTTAGTTAAAAACCGGTTACTCTTCTAGTGTTAATGGGTACACCATGATGGAGGTAGAAAGGTGACCTTGTACTGCTTAACTTCTGGAGTGTGTGAATTCAGTATTGTTTCCTGTGGCTTAACAGTAGTGCCATGCTGATGCTCCCTTCCCTGTGGGAAAGATGACGGGGGCTACAGAATGTTGGTCTCAACATTAACACACTCCCCTTCGCCTTACGATCTTTCGTGGCCATCGTTATTGGTGTTTTAGGCCCACCGCTAGAACACCCAAGTCATATACCAACAGCCAGCAAAAGGCCATGTGGGACAGGTCTCAAGCAGGGGTCTCACAGGGTCTGCGGTCACACAAATCTTCTACTTTTTTGAATATCCTGCTGAAATAACTTCTACACTATGAACAGCCAGTATGCTTCAGCTGTCCACATGTACCCAGTAGTATGCGACGTTTAATCAAGCTTAACCTATCCTTCTTGACTGTGCATCCTACATTACCCTCAATTCCTGAAACCAGTATCAGGCCTTTTACAACTTTTTCAACCTTCCATTCTGCTACCATTGCCAACGATCAAAGTCATCGAAATGACATTCTTAGTATCCCAAGATCTCTCTGTCGACTTCATGGTGAAGCCTTGAACTTCGTAGCCCGATGCCAAATCGAATAATCGGCGGTGCTCACCAGAACTCTGGAATCTTTAGCCATTGATAAATGCTGCACTTTTGAGACGTACACAAAACCTGAGTATGGTTGTTAAGTTGACCTCACTTGGCCATTACGATGAATCTTCAAAACTGACCTTTCAAGTATCGCGAGACCCAATGGCTGGCCTTCATTATCTTGCTGGTGTAGGCACAGCATTGAGATTAGTAGCAGAAAGCACACTCCTTGACGTAATACCAGTCATAAGCTGTCTGTGTGCTGATCGACTGAATGGATCTGTATTAACTAGGTAGGTCATGCGACTAACTGAAGCTTATTCGTAACCTGCGCCTGCATGCCCACCGACTGCAGTTCGTACGATTCAAAGGACGAATCCTACGAGAAGCTGTCAATTTTGCTTCACAAAGCAAAATGTTCATATGTAGCCATAACAGCTGGTAACTTCAACTTGTAAGCAGAAAAGCTGGGTCAAACAGGAAGGCAACTAGAAGGTATTCAGACCATCCCATTCCGATAAATTGAAAATGGTGACCATCTCGCAATTTTGTTCTGAAACTCACTTGTTTCAAGCCACCACGCCTTAATCAGAATATGAAAAGTTGTTTCACTCAGAGTCTATCGATACCAAGCCACTGGTGGCAGGAAACAGGCTGTAGTAAAGCTTTTCTTTGCCTGACTGTAGTTTAAGAATGTGAAGCACGTATTTAGGGAGATAGTGGAGCATTTATCTGAATGTGATAGCAGTGCGAATCCTGAAGAAACCTGGCGTCTTATTAAGTCTGCTGCAGAAAAAGCGGAAGTTGGTAAACCTCAATGGACTTCAGTAGTGACATTCAAAATAACTGATAGGAGAATATTGATTTCAGCTGTCTCTGACCACATTAAAGACTGAAAGTACCATGGATGTAAACTGACCAAGAGTGTTCGCCTTGATTACGATCAGTGGTAGGTGGCGAGAGCAAGAGAGATGGAAAAGACATCATCGTTGGGCAGCACCCGTCAGCTATTTAGGCTTATTAAGGATACTGGACAGAAGAAAACGGTGGTTAGTTAAACCATCATCGAAAAGAGTGCGACGCTGAAATCGACTCAGGATAAGCGGCTAGAGTGTCGGGTGAGACAGTTTTAAAAACAGTTCAACCGGCCCATAACACCGCTTCAGTTGCTCAAAATCCAACCGACCAAAGCCTGAGTGGGATGTAGATGTCTGTCCTGCGACTCTTCACGAAGTTGAGAAGGCTGTTTCGGACCTGAAACGGTGCAAATCAGCGGAACCTGACGGTTCGATACTCGAAGATTTTAGGAATGAAGGTAGAAAAGTACTGGGTAGAGAAGTACTTGGTAGCGTATGACAGTTAGATGTAGCACCGTCAGCCTGCTGTATTTCACTGATCATTCAAGTTTATAAGAAAGGAGCGAAGGCGTCCTGTGACAACCAAAGCTGAATTCGTCTGGCTAGTGTTGTGTCCAAGATCCTAGTGTCCATAGTCATTCAATGCCTAAATAGGGCTGGAAAACAGCAAACTTGAGAATACCAAGCAGGTTTTAGACAGAACTGGACGAGGGTGCGTTGATCATACTTTTACTCTTCAACAGGTTCTCGAATGCAGTAATACTTACTGACATCTGACACTTGCCAAATTTCTCCACCTGATGGGGAAATCTGACCCCGTCACCTGTGAGATGTGGCATTGTCTAGCTGTGAAAGGTGTACTAGGACAGTATGCAACGTTAGTGAAAGCTCTGTACATACGCTGCTGCAACATTGCAAGAGCTCACATGAAGTTTTCATCATAAACGACGGAAATCAGGAGTGTCCACCACGGTTGCCTACTGTCAACTTTCCTGTTTAGTTTTGCAGTGGATGTACTGATAGAAATTACTTAAGGTACATCTGACTTCATAAGGATTGACCAACACTCTGGAGGTCCTCTAGATGACTTGCAGTATACACATAAAGTTGTCCTTCTATGTGAGAACCCTGACAAAATGCAGACATTCCCGAACACGCTGAGTAAAAATCTGAGTAAATTTGGTATGTATTTCGCACCTATCAGCAGCAAGGTCATGCTCCGGGACTGACCTGCAACTGCTCTCAGCTTCAGGTTGGGGAGTCAAGTGGTGGAATACAATGACCCTCTCACTTAATTCTGAAGTTGCATCAGGACGAATGTCTGGTTGTTAAAATTTTCAGATATCTCAAAGTTGTTTAATTTGACACTTGAAGTCAGTGATCTTAGTAAAATGGATAGTTTAACTAGAGGGTAGATCTACTGATATTTATTTCCGAAACAGGAATAGGTTGGGGAGCAGCAAGAGATAAATGAATATTAGTTGGTTCTGCTGTGGCTAGCTTTCACAGTAATAAAGTGCCTATTACACCTCAATATCGAATCGAAAACAAGTTGAGAACCAACTAATCTAGTGAGGTGTATACATCTTGACTACCCGATTTTAAAAACACCTGTCTAATGCCTTTTGTATGATAAACCCTGACTACCTTTTATGGTTCTTTAACTACATTGGGTGTTCCCAGAGGTTTGTGCTTCCCTTCGAAAATAATAGGCAGAATGGTGTCCTTAATAAGTTATCTTTTATTTGGACAGTAATTATCAAAGTGAAAAACACCAGTGTTTAACCTATCTTATCGAAAGCAGTGAAACTAGCTCCTATATCAATTCGGTGATAGTGCTATGTTTTAACTGAAGAAAATGGATTCTAAGTGACTCATTCTTGGTTCTGATATATAGTGTGAAGCAAGATATATCTCTACTTTTTCAGCCATCCGTTGAGAACCTTATGAATTCCAGATTTAGTTTGAATGAGGAGCATTGCGTAAAATAACTGAAGTAGGAATACTCCATTTTGGTGTCTATAAGTGATCCGTCAGTCGCAGTTTTATTATGAGGCAGTTCCATGGATATTGCTGGCTTTCTTTTATCTGAATTCATTTATCAAAGAAGCAAAATAATTGCAGTTGGCAACATTTACTTCAATATTTTAGTTGACTCGGAAGGCTGCACGAGTAATGCAAGGCTGAATAATATGAAATCAAGCTCTTAAATCTACAAGACTTTTACTACATTTTATCAACAGTTCTGTGACGAGCTCTTCGCAGTATTTCAGAAGGATAAAGTATGCAGGTTTAAGTCCTCAAGTAATTATCTCAAAATGAAAGCGTGTTATTGCATACATTTTCAAAAAACATTTTTCTCATGTTTGGAATCCTAGATCATTTTTATGAAATGTGTATTGTAAGTGAAGTGGTGCGTTTAGGAAATAATAAAAAAGATACTTGGGCTAAACCTTGTTTCCTAAGAAACATTCTTAAACATGTATAGTAAAGTGCATGAATTTTGTTGTTTTTTCTGGCTGAGTTTGACTCCTCCTAGACATGAGTAAGCATCAAAAGGAATCTTTACCCCTGAACTTTGGCTGATTCATTGTTTATCACGTTTTCTCTAATCTTTTTGCATGTGTGTGTTGAAATTTCAGAGTTCATTCTTTAGTTCCTTAATCGGACTTTCTTTAATTTGATCATTGCAGACTGTTTAAGAGTAAAAACAGCCTCTCAAAATAGCTAGTACTTTTGTAGACTATCTATTCAACGACAGTTTTGAAACAACTTAATATTGCTAAAAACGGATAAATGATGTCTGCAACACACAATCCTTCGTTGAACTAATGTTCCTATGTCATCACCACCGTAGATTGGAATAAGTAGTAGATTATCAAAGGACCACCAAAAATCTTGCAGTGATATTGAATTCGATATTCTATTTTTCAACGTTTTCGAGAAATTTATGTTTTCAGTGTGCACTTTTCATACTTCGTAACAAATATATTTCAAAGTGGCCTGCGGACGTTTTTAAAAACTAATTACGAAATACTCATACTTGTAAGGTAAAGCTACTGAGGAATACTAATATTCCTTTCATTTCCAGTTTCCGTAGGCACATTTTAAAACCGTCTCTGATTTATTGGAGCCGATATTCATCTTCTTTGCAGGAGAACACTTATAGCTTTCCTATAAAATCTATGTTAACAGGTCGATGTATTCGATTATTAATTTCTGTATACACATTTAAACTTTCACCGTATCCTGTATATAGGTTTCTCCTCTTTAAGCATTTTGTAAAATTTACCGAAGTTTTTATGTGATATGACGAATTATAACACAAGTTACAATGTTGTCCACCTTCATACCAGCTTTCTTTATCTACCGATATTGAAGTAATCAAGCATAATTGAGAGGCGAGTAGGAAAAGTTGTAGTTTAAACCACTTAAATAACTTTATTTCATGTGTGCGGTTTGGTAACAGCTAACACAGTGAGCTTTCCGTTTGCATAACTAGCCACTTAGATATTTTTTGCAGGCAAAACTTCCAGTGAGTGTGATAAATTAAAATGATGCTCATGATTCTTAAAATACACAATGAACCACCTAATATATGACTAGAACATCCAGTAGCGTTGTAGTTGTATTTTGTTTACTTTGACATTTTTCCTGCCTAAAAAGTAGGAAAAATAACTCCAGTAGTGGAAGTGAGTCCCTGAAGAATGTCTCAGATGAGAATTCTGTAAGAATTTCTTCATTGTACATCTTTTCGCTTTACTGATGTTTCGGAAACTGAAGTTGAAAATAAAGTTATGTTGAGCCACTTTTTGAACATGTGATTTCAGGGTTATTGCTCGAATGCCCTTCCAAGTGAGCTATGATAGCGAATTGAAAGCTGCCTCAGTTTTGTTTCTCTTATCGAATGTTTTGTTCATACTCACTAGTATAAATTGACGTCTAACCGCCCATTCGTCATCGTGTTAGCTGGCTAGTGGAGTGTTGATTTGAGTTAAAACTTGGGAGCAGCCAATTGGTTGAGTTTTAGCTACTTGAGATAAGCTTGATAGGTTGACTGGCCTTATTGCATGATGACATTAGTTTAAATGAGAAAGGCAAAGTTAATATTTACACTTGTCTCCATGAAATTATTCATGTAGGAAAACGCAGGTGTTCACACTTCATGAAATAGCTGATTAGTTACTAAGTGGCTAGATGGTTGAGAAATTATGTTATATGCGCAGAATCATGAAGTTTTCATAAAGAATCTGAACCTCTGTTTTAGTAGAAAACATAGTCTTGTTACAAATGCGGCTTCCCGCTTATAACTAATAGCATTTTCTATTGCAAACCAAAATAATCTGAATTAACCATAAGCAACATGTTAGTAGGCAAAAAAGTCATCACATGAACTGAATCACTCTCAGTCAATCGATAGGTTGCACCATTATAACCACTCACATCCTTTACCCACTTGTCGTTTCTGAACACAGATATTTATATCTATGAAAAGTTTATTCATTGTGGAGAGAATCAATTTATTAGAAATATATTTCTAATAAATTGAAAAAGATATTTGATTTACATTTCGTATATTTCAGGGCAGTATTGATCATGAAGTGATATAAGTTGGAGAACCATTTAAAACCTGGGAGCACTGAACAACGTTTCATCTCAATATGAGACTCGTCAGTAGTACTCTGACATGGCCCTACCAAGGATGAACACTGCTTAAAGTTAAATAACCATCACAAACTTCAAACTGAATTTCATTTATTTACTTTTCCATAGTTACATATTTTCATTGCTTTACTCAGTGTTCACATTTCCAGGCAGATTTCGGTAATTGTAAGTAACTTGACAAAATCATCGCCTTATGGAATTACCTCGTCTGTTATTTCGTGAGCACTTTTCACCGCATTAGATTTTAGCAGTCAGTTGGTAGACAGTCTTGAACCTAAAATCCATGTTTGTCAGAACTCGTCAACTTGGTAATTTGTAAACATGAGAAAACTCAGCTTAATTAAGTGGTTCGTATCTTTATCAGTCAGAGTCAAAGTAAGAACTTTACCACTAATCTATGCAGGCTGAAACCGGCCGTTTCTAGGACTGGGTTATGAACACGAACTGGTCACCATATGATAAAAGATGTAGCTATCACATGGTAAACTTGATCGATAAACTGTTCAATAAGTTTAAATGTTGTCGAATGTTCCTGAAATTAACACCGCTGAATGGAATTCAGCTTGTTTCACTTTGATATAGGAATCAGTAATTAGGGGAAGTCATTTCGTTGCGAAACGTGCCAATTCCTTAGTGGTTCTGGTCAGATGAAGTCACCTGAGACCGTAAGATTGAAGAAAAGTAGCTGGAAATACAAACGACTTACAGCTTCTTAAAGCTGGGTTTAGAGTACTCTTAGTCGTTGTTCTGTGGTTTATGAAACTAAATACTTACCGAATTACAAGTTTATTTAAGCTATATTGTATCGTAGAATCAACAAATTAAGGTTGGTCAACCAATGTTAGTAAAAACAGCAGTCCATCTATGATATCCTAGCCAAACTGTTAATCTCTCTCCTAGCATCCGAGTTGTTCTTCACTTTTGAATATCCTCTTCTACCTGGTTGTGACATTAGATTATGCTCAGTAGTCTCCTACTTATTGTTATAGCTAGTAAAAGTGAAAGTGCTTGAATTTTCAACATTTATCGGTGCCATTTTTTGCCGGATCTAACAGTTAATTCAGATGCATCAAGCTATTTTGCTCGAATTCTGTTGATTCGATTGTATGAAATGAATAGTATAGCCTCAGCTTCGGAGGTAACAACCAACCAACTTGGAGGTGGAGAATGTTTCCATTAGATAGGGAGAAATTCGGATAACAGCTATAGGATTAGCCAAAACTCCTCAGTGGACCTTAGAATTTCTTTGCTTTGCTGTTTCCTTTCACTATATCTTAACTGTGCTCCACCTACTCTGGTCTCGGCAACCAGGAAGTGTCACAAGTGTTTACACAACGGCTGTGGCTCTATAGCTTGGTACATAAACACCAAATAGGTTGAGCTGCATTATTATCATTAATAGCATTATCATCATTATTGTTATGACTCGTTTTCTATTTCGTGATGAAACGCTGAAATCAGGACTAGAAGCTAAATAATTTACTAGTTGATGAATTAGTGCCTAACCAATGTTCTTCTGAAAGCAAATGTAAATGACGTTTATTAAAGGCTTATCTCATACATTACTGCTCTCGACTATATCCAGAGAGTTAAGACGGTGAAACTGTTATTTATGATAATCAATGAAGAGTAGAATCTTGGGTAATAATGAAGGCGTACTTGTCCATTAAGAGGTACTTTGCAACTTCGAGTGGGTAGGGATTTTTATTTACTGCACTGTCAGCCTCTTCAAAGTGAAAACAAGTAATATTGACTGCTTCTTATACTTTTCAGGAGTAGTCAAACTAATTCCAAGGTGAAATTTAATGAGTTTCTAATTTTTCAAGTTTCGGCAAGTAATTCATCTGGTCAGTGACTTCTAGCTATTTAGTTTTCATGATAGTAACACTTTTATGGATCCAAGAAGCCCCACTAATTTTCTAGGTTGGTTAAAATGCGTAGTGAACACAAAGAGGTCGACTTATCTTTGACCGACGCCAAAGCAGGTGAAGCAGGTTTTCAACCCCGTTTAAAAAAGATGAGGGCTCAAGTCAATAGGTTACATCTCAAAGATAATGAATGTTTTCTATTGAAAATACCACTTCCCACTTACGGATCATCATTCATACTCTGTTTGTTACAACGTAAGGTTGTATGAGAAAGAAGTTTTGAAATCATAAACAGACCAAAATGATGGAAAGATCAGTATGAATAGTCTGAGTTCCAATCTTAAGTTTAATCAAATACACTTAGCCAATCCTAACGGGTGCCATAACGCAGATACAAGAAAAACATCCTTATGCTAAATTGAATTAAATTAATTAGTATTTAACCAATAATTCAACATTTTTAGCCACACCAGAGAATTACATACCACCTGGATTCAAGTGTGCAGATGATGTCACTTTCACCTATGAAGAAGATAATATCAGTGTACGGATGGGTAAAGTGAGAACAGTATGTCATCACATGCTTTTTTTGAAAAATGCTTTTACCTAGGTTCACCATGGGTTTGTGTTCGTATCAAGTTAAACTTTTTTAGCATTAAGATGCACATACAAACAAGTCGAAGGCTGCTACCTGGATCTACTCAGTCAACACAAGAAGACAAACCTGTTCATAAACTATTGGTGAGTTTTGTAAACCTGATCAATACTTATACCAAGGCTTACCCAATGTTGGTATTGTTTGCACCATAGTGACACTCGGGCTGTTTTACCTTTCGAAGATTTATTGTGCTGTCTGAAGAAATAAGGGGGTTCTGAGGCTTACAAAACACATGTAGAGTGTGTATCATTATATTATGTTCCAGGGAATTCCATGTTGAGTCGTATAAAGAGACAACTGCGTCACGGGTGGGGGTGCAATTGAGTGAATAAGCTATGATTAGTCTTTTTGGGGTGTTGGTGCTTAAAAAACTAATTCTAGATGAAACTACCATTATAGTTAGCAGATAAGAACACATTTATTGAACACAAAATGAGATATGAGCACTTTACAGCTGGCAAAGCCTGCAAAAATTACACGCTTTGTATACTGGATACTAGATCCTACTAATGTTACACCAGAGTTGCATGTATGTCATTGTGACGCTGTGAAAAACCAAATTTCGATAACGCGTGACCTATTTATTGATGGTACAGTAAAGGCACACACCTTCATCGATTTTGAAAAAGCCTTCGACGGCGTCGACTGAGAAGTAATTTGGCAGGCAGCTGCTTCAACACTACGGAATACCAAAAACCTTTATCAACCTCATTCAACAGCTATATGAAGATGTCACAAGCCAAGTGATTCAAAATGGAAAGCTCAGTGATGCCTTTGAAGTGAAGACAGGGGACATGAGTAAGAGAAGGTTGCCTACTATCACCGATGATCTTCGTGATTGTGGTCGACTGGATCATGCGGTAAGCTGTGAGGAGCGAGAAGACGGGTATACGCTGAACTGATGAAAAGACCCTAGGAGATTTGGATTTCACCGATGATGATTTTTGTCTAATATCGCACAAACTCGAAGATCTACAGGCGAAAACTAACAAGTTGGCAGAAGAGGCAGGGCAGCGAGAACGGGACTTCAAGTAAATATAGAGAAGACAGAGGTAGAGGTGATGAAGATACCCAACCAACAACAACAACAAGCACCAATCACCATTAACGAGAGAAACTTAAAGGAGGTGGTCTCTTTCACCTATCTAGGCAGCATCGTTTCAACTGCAGGCGGCGGCACAGATGAGTATGTCAAAACCATGATCGGAAAGCCAGCAAGACAGGCGTTCATTGACTTGAAACCAGTGTGGAGATCTATTGCACTCAGCACAAAGAACAAGGTGTGGATTTTCAACCTTAGTACCAGTCAAGCCATTGCTGCTATATGGTTCAGAAACTTAGCGCGACACGAAAGCCCTTCTAACAAACTGCACACATACATCAACAGCTGCCTACACTCCTTGCTGAAGATCAGATTACCAGAAAGAATGAGCGACAAGGAATTCTTGCTGGCGACAAACCAACTGAGAACGCACGGCCCAAAAAGTATGCAGAAGAAAGTGGAGGTAGACTGGATTGGGCATACACTGGATTGGATTCCACTCGAGGACCTGGCTTGATGCATGATGTCCCCAGTCGGCCTTCACAGCATATGAGAGTACTGCAATCTTGTGATAACTGACAATAATTGGAGTGCCAACAAAGTATATTATTCTTTTATGATTCCGCCTCTTCACCTCATATAAGAGGATTATGTATTGTGTATCATATGAAGATGCAGCAACCAGGTGTTGTCAGACGTGTTCAATCTACCTACTCGTGTTCAATTTTGTAAGGGATGTAATGGTGCAGGTGTTTGGTAACCTTATACTTTCTGGAAATTGATTCCTAATGCAGAAATCTAATTTAAATTAAAATACAAAGACTACACATTTTAATTTACTGAAAACTGACAGTTTCAAAGGTCTAAAGGTTCGATATGTTTTGCTTGTATAAGACGTGCAACACTTTGGAACCAATGTGTTGCGGCAGGTGGTCAGAAACTAAAGGCAACTTGATGTATTATGTAGTTTCAAACCGAATGAGCAATGCTGAGATTAGGTGCAGGGTTTAAAAGCAAGGATAATTTATCAGCATATGACGTAATAGGTCTGGACATAATGTAGATAGGTCATTCTGTGTTGTTCGTTTTAAACTAGCGATTGAAATGAACTTGGCTATGATAAGGCTGGGTTTGGAAGAAACTAAGAACGGTCGAAACCAAGCTAAATCAATTCATTCAGTCACTGAGCTTTGGTGTTATCTGTGTAAATGTTCGTGATTGACCTCTCTAGATACGAATACTAATAGAGTGTTTTTAGCTGATAATACTTGTTTGATAACTTTAATGACGCTGCTATCTACCGTTCAAAACAACATTCGTTGGTAACCTCCAAGTACTCATCATAGACTGACATCAGTTGTAGGAACATTGGAGAAAAAAACTAGTTCTAATTGGTGAGTAGCTCCTAGGGGCTATTCCTGAAGATCAAATTAGACGCCCTGATAGGTGGCGCAAAACTGGAGCCAACAGGTCAAATAATAAACCATGAAATTGGCTGATGGTCGCGATATCTTGGGAAAACACAGAAGCTGAAAATATCGACCATTGCACTACAACCACGAAACTCAATGGTAAACTCCTCGATATTAATGTTCTCCTATAACTTCCTTGTGGATGAGTATGCTTATGACAAAGTAGAGACACTGGAAGAGCATAAGACTGCCTTCAGAGATTTGCAGAATGTGCCGAACGAGAATGATGAATGAAGCTTCAAACCTGGCTTTCCTACCACTCCCCACACTCCAAGCAATTCTCCTTCCTCGACCGTTTCGTACAAACACGTAAGCATGCTACTCAAAAGTTGTCCCCACAACAATCACTACGATTCACAATACGCTAGATTTGCAAAATATGAATACTGCCTTATCACTCCGTGAAATCTCCACCTGATACATCATCATTCGGCAAGACCGGTAGACAAACTCGTGAAAAATCTGTGAAGTCGTCTTGGGTCAAGGTATACTTGAAACCACAAGCACATATTCGACTGGGACAACTTCGAAATACTCAAACGTGCAGACCTGAAAACAGGCCGAGTATTCTTGGAGGCATGGCACTTCAGCAAATTAGCAATCGGTCGCCACATCGACCTGCTCACGATGGACGCGCCCTCCAGAAACAAATCAATTACGCGAATCAACGCAACCGCGAAGAGATCATCAACCAACCGGATGAAGATGACTCATGCACAAAGCGAATCGCCCTCTCCAGTAAGATATTTAGGCAAACAGCAGTGGTGAAGAACACCCTTTCACTTGGCGTGAATTGCTGCAAGCAATGGAAGAAGTTTAGCAGCCAAAATGTTTAAGGTTTACAGGGGTGTGTGGTGTTAACTAAGGTGTCAACATTTAAAAAATCGAGCCTCGTTTGGTCACTTATTTAGTCACCGTGGTATATTTGCGACGTAACGATATTTTAACACATTCGCTAAGATTTGTGAGCGTCGCTCAACATAGCATAGAAACTGAATGAATGTGATCAATTTGAAATAATTTGCTTCCCTAGATTAATTTCGAGTAGACAAAAAGAAGACGTAACCTGTCTGAATCACGAGTTGAGTAACATAACGAAATATTGATGAGCAAGTTGTAATCAAGTGCGTATTAGTATTATTATTGTTATTATTATCATTATTTGTCCCTTGGCTTCCTAGTGGAACATAGGGCTTCAGCAGCACGTCTCCAGTGCACTCTGTTCTCTGCAAACTTTCGAAGTTGGCTCCACCACTGCCCACAAGCTCTCATTTCTTCCTCACACGATCTCCACGTCACCCTCGCCTCGGACACCCAACTCGTCGCTTCCCATCGGGGTTCCACTCGAGCAACTGGCCTGGCGCGTGATGTCCCCAAATGGTCTTCTCAGTGCATGCCCAATCCATCTCCACTTTCTTCTGCATATTTGTTGAGCGATAGGTTCTTGGTTGGTTCGTTGCCAGAGTTCCTTGTTGCTGATTCTTATTATTCTGGCCATCTGATCTTCGGTAACGAGTCAGCGTAGGCAGTTGTTGGTGAATATCTGTAGTTTGCTGGAAATACCTCTCGTAACGCGCCAAGTCTGTGGCAATACAGAAGCACTGACTTGACACTGGTGTTGAAAATCTGGATCTTATTCTTTACGCTGAGTGCAATAGATCTCCACACTGGTTTCAAGTCAATGAACGCCTGTCTTGCTGGCTTTCCGATCATGGTTTTGACATCCTCATCTGTGCCGCCGCCTGTAGTTGAAACGATGCTGCCTAGATAGGTGAAAGAGACCACCTCCTTTAAGTTTCTCTCGTTAATGGTGATTGGTGCTTGTTGTTGTTGTTGGTTGGGTATCTAACACGGCTACGCAGGTTTATTTCCACATCTCTTCCAAAGAGTTCCAGTGTTCTTCCACGCTTGTTCCTTCTGGGATGTTGCTCAATGTCTCCCATTTTGTCCTGATGACTGACTAACGTGAAGATGTCCTTTGTAATTTCTTCCTTCAGTTCATTTTCTGTTCTGGGTAGTGAACATGAACTGTGGTCTATCACCAACTTCTTTGAAGGCTTTTAACTTGATTTTGAAGGTTCATTGCACTAGATAGTGAGTGGTCTGAACCTACATCTGCTCCTCTTCTTGATCTGATCTTGTGTCCAGTAGGCTGCGTCTCCATTTTCTTCATATTGGGATGAAGTCGCTCTGATTTTTAGTGTGTCCATCTGGTGAAATCGAATCCATGTCGCTTTGTGAGTATCCTTGTGTTTGTACACACTGCCTCCAATCACCAAACCATTCAATGCTCAGAAGTCTCCAAACAGTTCTCTATTCTCGTTCATTTCACTGGGTGCTTCTCGACCCATGATCAGTCCTCTTCCTGTGTTGTCCCCTCCCAGTTTGACATTCATGTCGCCCATTAAAATTTTGATGTCGCCAACTGGAGTCTTGTTCAGTACTGTTTCCAGTTGTCCGTAGAATTCCTTCTTCTTCTCTTGATCTGCATTATTTGTTGGCGCGTAGCATTGAATGATTGTGACTTTCCTTCCTTTTGAGTTGAATCTTCTTATGATGATCCTGCAGGAGGAGATTGGCTCTCACTGCCTGAGAGCCTTGGACATCATGATGGTCACTCCAAAACTCCGTGTGCTCATGGTTTTCGTCTGGGTGACAATATCGGAGTAGATCATTGACTCTCCAGTTGACAGTTTGGAGAGTCCACTTCCATTCCACCTGCTTTCGCAGATTCCCAGCACTTCATCTCGTTTGCAATCTGGGCAGACTTGCTAGGTTAAAACATGGTGCGGACATTCCATGTCGCCATCCTTACTTTCGCTTTCATCGAGAGAAGACACATCGGCCGACTGGCTTCCCGAAGGCTTTCACCAACCGGTGTCCTTTTGCCTCTCCGATTCCAGTGAGGAATAAGTTTAATTTTGTTTTTTATATTTTCTTTGTGCATTGAAGTTTCTGTAGCGACTGGATTGGTTTTACGGGGTAGGGTTGCTAGCCCTATACCCAACCTTCCCTCTTTACCCAGGCTTGGGACCGGCTAGTAACTAGTGAACTAGTTAACTAGGCGAGGTTGCAAAGAGCAGAGGGTAAGTATAATTAAACGCAGAGGTCATTAAATGACAGTTGACTGGTTATATTATTACACTGTAAGTCTAAGTTAAGCCACATAGCAAATGAAGGAGATCAATTACGTTACTGTTCACCAAAAGGACTTAATAGGTCAACGGGGTGTCTGGAAATTAGACAAAGCCACAGGTATTGTATTCGAATTTCTCTTGAGAGATAAACTGCTCATGAATGCAACGTGATTCTAATAGGAAAGGCAAGTATCTCGCTTTTTACTTTGATTTTTTCACTTTATTTGTAGCTGAGACTTGATATTGTATTTGGAGAAAAGATTCCTAGAATAATGGAAGATGCACCCCATAAGCAGTGCTTGGTTAGTGCTGGTTTAGAGATTTCAAATTATGAAGTTGAATATGCTAGTGCTTTCACTTGATGTATTTTTCATCAAAAACTTGTTTTCTGCCGATATTCATTTTCATTGAATAAAACTTGCTGAGGGCGATAAGGGATAAACGTTTTATGTATCTTTGTTGGTATGAAATAGACCTATGCAAGGGAACTTACGGAGACAACGGTCTAAAAGCTTTTATATGAAAAGATAAATTACCCAGTGCCTTGGCTTCCATTTTAGTAGTGAGTAATCAAAGAAATGCAAATGAATACAAATCGTTTTCTATGGCATTATAGTTTCAAACGCTTAGGAAATCAAACACTGGAAGAATCCCCTAACATTGGTAAAAAGCGACAATCCGAACGAAAAGTATTCATTTCAACAAGTTCTCATCAGGTTCTACAGCAGTAAAATGCATTTGAACAGCGTAAAAACAAGCCAAGTTAGAAGCAGATGCATTTTCACAATCGAATGACATTTGGGGATTGTGAGGATATAGATTTTTATCTTTAAATTTGTCAATATTAGGATTAAATAAATACAGAGGAAGACACTCGTGTTCGGTAACCTGTAACCGCTTAATGTCTTCCGACCTCATCGGCTACGTCTCACAGTTGTATAACAGGAAAATACGAACTGTTGCTCAGTATACTCGTCTTTTGATAGGTAGTCGGATTGTGACGTAGGTTGGTAAGCGCCAAACGGGCCTTCTGTATTCCAGCTGACATTTCGTCAGCAAGCAGCGCATTTTGGCTGATGCACCACATGCAGTGGTTAGTGAATGCCACCACTTCCCTCATTATCCTTAAACAAGGAGCTGTTACAGACCAGTCCTGAAGCATCATCTTACATCTTACAGGTTGGAAACTTATACCAAACGTATTCAGATTTCTGCTCAACGCGTTCACAAGACTCTGCATTGTGTTAATGTCTTCACCCAGCAGGAAAATATCGTTTGCATACTCCAAGTCAACCACATACCCTGCAGAGGGTAGACCAGTCCGTGTAAAGTCAGAGGCGCCCAAAGTTATTTCTATTAGTACATGTATAAAAAAGTCAAACATGAAAGATGGCAGTGGGCATCACTTCCCAGCATTTAACTTCTTAAGCCTATGTGTCTGTTTGGTAATATCTTGATTATTTAAGTGTTGTAAGGGAACTTGGATATTATATGAATGTTAAAATTGGCATCATGAATATGAAATTTGGTGTGAAAAAAACATGAAAGTTGAAGTTCATGTTTTCATGAACTTTAGTAAATCTAGTTATGGTAAAAATTCCTTATAAGTCGTCACAACTGTAGGAAAGTTTTCTTTTCAAGTAATTAGTTTTCTAGATAATTTGTGTGTTCACTCAAATTAAAAGATAAAAGAATATGAATTATTGGGGATTTTAAAACGAGGAAATATATCGGGTTTATCAAGTTCCATAAAGATATTACATTGCAGAAATAAAGTAATTTTATTATGACAGTTTCAATTTTTTTTTTTTTGCAGTTAAATTTACAAGGTGAAGATAGACTGAATGAAGAAGATGAACTCAGTTTATCTCTTCGACAACAGACATTAAGATCCGATGAAGATGGATCCGAAGGCTATGAAGCTCGGTGTCCATGTGGTGCGAACGAAGTAAGTAATATAAGCAATAACACTAAAACTATACCCGTCGCGCAAGAAGTGGATGTCGTGGCTCGGTGGTATAGTGGATAACGCTCTCGCGTTTGGAGCGATTGCTCCCGAGTCCGAATCCCTGTTGGGAACAACATCACTCACTGGGAGGCAGGTACATCCAGCCGACGAGTCCAAAATAGGACGAAATGCTCATCCTAGGTTCCACTGCTAGCCGCTACCCATCATTACTATGCAGAAGTAAGATGATATTAAGAGTTTCCCAAAGTTCACTTCTGACGATTTCTTTGGAGCTAAGGTTGAATGAGAATGAAGAGATCAACTAAGATTCTTTACTGAATCACCAGATGCGGTTAGATTTTAGTTAAATAAGTAAGATTTGGATAAGATTTTTATTCACAAATTTTATATTGAAACGACCAAATAAAAAGGAACTGATTTATAATGACATTTCTCATTTATATCACAAGTTGTTTTACGACGTTCCAGCTAACGTTCCCATTGAATATTTCGTTAAAAGTCATTTCGCATTACTGTGAATTTTGTTATAACCATATACTTTACTACAAGCTGGAAGTGTGAGAAACGAACCCTAGGGAATTTTTGTGGAATGCGTCATTTTAAAATTATTCAACAAATTATAAGCTAGTCATCTAACATGGAAGTACCAAGTTAAAATAAACGTTTTAGAAGTTGTAATAACTACCAGGGTGAAAGAATTATTGATACACCGAACATAGAAGTGATGGGTAGATTTTAAAGTCAAGTGTAATCCACCATTTTTATTTTCAAGCAGATAACTTGGAAAATAATCTTTAGACATGGTTATATTTTATGACACTGTGTATATAGACCATAGAATATATGGTAAAGTGGATATAAAGTAAACCTTATGGGTTGTTTGTACTACGTACTGTAATCAGTCTCACACAAGTTCACTATCATAATAAAGTACAGAAGCATGAATAAAGTAGTGGAAGCATGATACTCCAAGATTTAGTCTGTATTCCACTTAATTATGTAAAAACTAACTGACTGCAAAAAAAATATAGCTAAATAAAGTAACCATGTGAAGAATAACAGAGTTAGAGGAAGAAGAAGAAGAAATCACTAATGATGCATTCGAGAAAGTTCCATTGCTTTCTGTATCTATATTCACATATCGAATAAACAGCTAAACTACAGCTTAATCTTATCCGCCTTGAGTTCTAAGCCATACTTAATAGCATGTAAGCTGCCCTGTAGCGTGATTTCTTTGAACCAGCACGGAAAACCGTAACTGTGACCCTAACCTGTATACCCCTCGTTCTTTACTAAGACGCTATAAATTGACTACCCCACCTGTCACTAGTCCTCATCACAAATGGTATATTGATTGGTGTAGGAGGCTGTGAGACGACGATAAATGTAAAATGTTCCCAAACCTCTAGAGGTAGTGTTTCAAGGTTACTTTACTCATTCCATCACTACCTTGATTAAGCATAAACACTAGTTGAATAGTTCATCGTTTTTTCAAAAGATGACATAAACAGACAAACAGAATCAACATGGCACTAATTTTCGTAACAGCTGAAGTTGCCACTACTCATTTCTGTACATCGAGCAAGAACGCACTTGAACGGAAGATCAAGAAATGGCGAAGAAATCAATAAAAAGTGGTTAGAAGTCACCAAAAGAGGGCAGAGAAGAATAGAAAAATACTGAGATTTATTTTGACTACATCTGCGCTGTTGACATCGATTCTCATTCATATCACCTAGAGTCCCCAACCACTGGTTTCTGTTATCACGTGGATGACAAGCCGGCAGTTCACGTTTCCCTTCTCGGCTCACACTAGCAGTCTAAAGCCTCATGCACTTATAACCAATCCCTAATCATTTTCTAGCATGAACTTACTTCGGCTAACATTATACAATAAGGTAGACGGTCACTAGGCATGCGTAATACATGTCACCTCGGTTGACGAATATTCACCATTTCATCGATTGGCTTTCTTTCCTCCTCTCTCGAAAATTCAAAATCCGAATTCTACGTAACTCATTTGGTGATACCACGAAACACGGCCTATACTACAAAGGCAGTAGTGGTCAAACATTTCAACTTCTCATATCCTCTGCCGTATTTGGTCAAGTTTCACAATTATACAGTAGAACAGAGCAAACTGCATCGCAGTATACTCAACCATAATAGACAATCGGGTATCACGGTGGCTCCATAAATGGTGTAAGTTGGCAAAGGTAAAGCAAACGTTTCGTATCTTTACAGAGATTTCGTCGGCAAATGACCCACTAGGTCTGATCAGACTTCCGAGGCTGGTGAAGTGTTCAACGCGCCCAGCCATTCCACTTTCTGTTGTTATTTTGGGTCATCATTGAAGGTCAGTTCTGACTAAACACACCCACGGATATTCGAGGGTAGAGGCTTGAACAGATTGGTATATTTACTCGACACTTATTTCAGTAAGAGACACTACCTCAAAACCTCTTGGTCGACCAAGTCGAATCCTCTTATTACGTCTACAGAAACAGCCGGTGTCGAGCGTTGGTAAGTGTAGCTGAATTCCATATTCTGGTGGAGAGTGGACATCTGGTCGATACTTTCATAGTCAGGTCTCAAGTCTATCTGGTTTTCTCGGGTTTGTTGTTCTCAATCTCCACTCAAATGTCTGATGAACATAGAACCTAGAATCTTAGGCAATATGTTCATCGGGCTGCTTTTCCTGCAGTTATCAAGAGATGGCTTCTCCTCCTTATTCAAGACTGGTACAATCAGTGATCAAGACCAGTCAGGTGGAGTTATACCTGACTCCCACACACTAGTTGACACTTCACTTAACCTGACCAGTAATCCTTGGCCACCATCTTTAAATGTCTGCAGTGATATTCTGTCTGGTCCTGATGCTCCGCTTCCTTTTAGATTGATTACGGCTTTCTTGTCTTCTGCAAGTGTTTGAGATCCTACATCGATGTTCCGTTTAGGCGTTGACTGGATAGCAGCCTACGAAATACTAGCAGAAGTCCAAGTGGACAGTTCCTTGAAGTGTTCCGCTCATAGTTCCCGGCGTTTGATCTATGAGTGGATTTCAGATCCATCCTTCTTAACCTTAGTCTAAGTGACCATTGACCATTTTGCTCTAGTCTCCTTGATGATTCCAGATTGCTATCGCCACTACCTTCTCCATCTCCTTAGCCTCCACTAACAATCCCTGCTTGCAATCGTGGTGTAAACTTCGTTTCAGTTTACATTTAAGTTTCTTCCGACCTTATTGTTATGGGAGCCTGCTGGAATGCATTTTTGCGCATCCATTAATTCAGAAGATGCTGCCACGGTCACACTGGTCTTTTTTAATCACTTTTTAATAGTTATTTACAGTCTTCAACACTTATTTTAGAGTAGGCCGGAGATTATACCAGGCTTCTTCGAGATGAGTAGTGTTGTTCTGTCACAACTGTCCGGCCATTTCTTCGCCGAAAACATCTTTAGCATTCCTACGACAAGCAGCGCTAGGAGTGATCTATCTACTATTATTTTCCTGCTTTTATTTAGGCGCAGATATACGCCTTCTCCTTATCCGAGCACATGCTTCATACGTAATAAAAGTCTTCCACTGACCCTCTCTACCGATGACTGATAGTGTCATGGTCTATCTGTATCCACCATTGAGTTGAATCCGGTGGACGCCACAACAGAAAATTCCTGTCTTTGCGCAAGTCAAAAGTAGATAATTATATAAGCAGAAATGTAGCAGGTGGTCGCCGTTATCTTTTCGTTCGGAGGGGTGCCTTTCTTCTTAAATTAGTCTACCTACTTGTGCATTGAAATCACTTGCTACGATAACCACATCTGAACGTTTGGCTTTCATTTGGAGGCTAGACAGTCTTTGGTAGAACTCACTCCACTCCTTAAGAACTGCTGTTAGTGGGTGCGCAGGCTGAGAATGCAAAGAAATAACTGTGAGTTTCACTGTTCTTCTAATACTTCATTGTGCTACTTATTCGGACAGCATACAGGCTGCTGCCAACTCGAATCCCGCCGAGCAGTGGATTTTCTACTTAGGTCTCAATGCTATACCTACACCTGCAAGACCACAGGAACTAACCATCAAAGCTCCTGAAACTCGAAGAGGTGAACTTTACGGATTCACCTTACTGACCGAGTGAAGTTGAGTGAACAGACACACTAGAGTCCTATATACGTGTTTCACAAACACAGCACTCGTCTATTGCCTCAGGTGTCAGGGTTTTGGCTAGCCAAGCTTGTTGGTGGGTTCGATGGAGGATAAGGACATTGAGATTTTCAATATGTAGTTTGGACTGCGGTTTTAGGAGACTATGGATACTGTTGTGTAAACTGGAATCTTTATCAAGAGCTGAAGAGCTGGAATTAAAGATGATGTAGAAATACTGACCGAGAGACGTAAAGGAAGATTAGAAGTTAAGGATGTAGAAGGTGGACAGTTAGCTGGCAGAACTTGAATGGTGAGAGAGTTGTGAGGGTGATTGACACTTCTCAAATGCCCACACCGTGTAAGTTTTGTGTATTAAGTTACCTAGTAATTTAAGTTTGTTTCATGTGAATTCAACTATTAAGCTGTATACTGAGACGTAAAGAGGACTGCTATATTTTTAGGCCTGATTTTTACTTACCTCGCCCTTTCCCATAGAGAAGTCAGCATTCAGTGTGTCTCATCTGGTCATTCATGGGAAACAACTTACTACTTCACACTTCCATCCAGCTAGCAGTACGACTTCGCCCTCGGATGCAAATCATTGCTTAGCAATTTACACTCTAGCACTAAATGTTTTTTTTATCACTCTGCAACTAGTACTTCTATCATGGTAGAACCTCTTGGCCAAAAGCCTTCCACTGACTTCGCTTTTTGGGCTACTGTGATATGCAAACCCGACGACCAATTCAATGTAGTAGCTGTTGGCAGGGACAAAAGATGAGAAGAATGCCAACGAAAAACCAATTAGTCAGTTAAAAAAGTCAGTTAGTCAGTTGAAAAAGCTAGACTCGATGAGACTAGATTTCACAGCTGTACAGAATAATCACCTCAACAAAGTACCTCACTCTAAACTGGTACATTTATATCAATGTTCAGACGGTACCAAATGTAATTCAAGTCATTTCATTTCCGTCTGAATTTCGACATATGAAGATCCGCCTGACCTGCTACATTTTGGCTAACACACGATTAGCAACGTAGAAACATCAGTCACTTGACTTACACATGCGAGTACTTAGTGAGCACTATATTATTCTTCAAAGGCACTAGGCTGGTGGTAAAGTTGGTACTAGGTTATATATATTAATGATGGAGAGTGGCGAGCAGTAGAATCAAGGATGCGCATTTCGTCCTATTTAGGACTCGTCAGCTAGAAACTAGGTTGAATCCAGTCTGGACTTCTTCTTAGCAAAAGTAAAGATAATGTAGAAGAACCCTTTAATTTTGCCATTCACTCTTTACTCTCAGAGAACTTCCCAGTCTTGCAGCGCTAACACAATGGTTATTAAAGATCCAGTCGAAATAGTTAAGATTCCGCCGTAGCACCTGGATCGACATAAACTCCTTAAAGGTCAGATATCGACGCCGCAGATCCACTAGAAATGCGCACACGAAACACATTCGTTGAATTGACAGGTGAAGGACTTCTTCAAAACACACCATGTAAATATGTAATGCAGGCATCCAGGACACAGCATATTTCCATAGTCAGGATTTCTGAAATGATAATCAAATATTGAAGATTATAGTCCACCCCAAAAGTTGGAAGCTCAATATGGTAAGCTGAAATGACAAACTTGATTTAGGAATTGATGGGTAAGAACCTGGAGGGGAGAAAAGATATATAAGAGAGACTTTTTAGTGACCCAGAATGGCACAGGTATATCATTGCTTTTTCTAACAGCAGCTAACCTCAAAGTGCATGAAAGTCGGAAGCAAAATCCAACGAGTACATCTTCGGAATAAAAGGTAGAATAGTTTATGAAGTAGTGGGTTCGAATGGTTGCAAAAACTTTAGGCAAGAGCTCATAATTTTATCACAATATTGTATCATGATTTGTGTAAGGGTTATGACACTTCCTGGGGGCTAATTCCAGAGTAGATGGTTGTCCTAGATGATAAATAACTCTTTTGGGACGTTTATACTTTAAGTCTAACGTGCAAGATAACAAAACGTCGGGAGCTGCATATCCATGATTTTCTAGTGCTGAAGTAGGTTTTCAATTTACTCAATCTTTCACGATTTTGGAGTCAGTATATAAATTTGTATGAAGCCCGTATTTTCGAATTCCCTAGGTAAACTTATCTTAGATACCACTTTCGTGGAAAATCTTAGATGTATCTGGGGAAATATTCCCATTAGCTAAGACTGCTGAGTGGGTCTCTTATGGTGAAAGTTGAATGCGTGGTGCAATGGCAGCATTTTAACAGGAAATATCGACACGACTCATCTTCAGACAGAGTTAGGTTTATGTTAGTAATTTCCCCCTGACAAATAATACCAAAAGATAGAATAAACCGCAGTAGTAAACAAAGGAAATGACAGAAAACACTTAATGTTATAGGTTTTATAACCGCAGAGTGGATTTATCTTTCAGAATTTATTGCCACTTAGTGTTTTGCTTTGCCTAGAAAGCATGGCGGTGGGAAATTTCAACCCATATCATTACATTTTAATCGGCAGTAGTAGCTAACAATGGAATCTAGGACGTGTGTTTGGTTCTCCTTGCAACTCTCAGTTGTGTGTGCACACATCTAAATGAGCGGTAGTATTCCCACTGATACCTGAACTGAGCACGCGGTAAACGGATGCATGGTAAATGTCAAGTTTCAGTCGATAACATCTTACGCCTGTCGCAAATCAGATGTCTCTGGTAACTCAGTAACTAAAAGAATAATACTATGAGTTTTCAAGTTATGGGTGTTGAGTCTCAGTGGGAACACCATCACTCACTGCAGGGCAGATCAATCCAGCTGACAAACCCTAAATACAACTAAATGTAGATCCTGGATTTCGCTGTTAGTCATCATCAAGCAAAATACGTCAGAATGAAACTTGACTCAGTATCCAAACATATAGACATCAAAGAGTCCATATGCTAACAGAAAATGGTGAGCTAAGTCCAGTCAAATAATCAACGCAGAAATACAAGTAATAATACCTATTTTTTGTCAGTCTTAAAAATTCACTTCAGTTGGTGAGTTATACGTGCTGAGTTGGACGAAATTTTGCTTCCAGTGAGATATCTCTTTTAGTGCCACGTGTTCTCAATATTTGTATTGGTCTTGAATAATCTGTATTAGAATTTCAAAAACCAGGATGATATAGAATTTGACTGTTCGAAAAATGAACCCGTTTAGTGGAGTTTACAACCATGAATACGTTGGAATGAGAATCTTTTTGTTGATTAACGATATAACCTAGTTCTTAATGTAAAGTATTATTGGGATAAGGGCAAAAGATAGTTCCCCAGCAAAAACGACAACGAGAAAGTACAAATGTTTGATGACTTCTAATTTAAAGCTGCCCGATAACCTCGTTGACTATCTCTTACACTAACATCTTGTTTTTCAGACTAGTAAGGTTTTTAATGTTTCCTTCTCATTTGGAACATAAATATATGGTTGCAGTCATATTAAGTGGTTCCTCTCAAAAACAGATATCACAAAATGCTTATTTTGTGTAAAATCTCTGACTAATCTGAAAGCTGTGGTTTATTGGTATAGCTTAACTTTTCTATGTTTTGATTGTTTCAGGATGATGGCATAATGGTTTTATGTGATGGATGCGGCAAGTGGCAACATGCGGTTTGCTTTCAAATTCTGGAGGAACGTGATGCACCCACCTCACATATTTGTGAGATATGTGCAACTTTAAAGGTATTATATGCACGAGATTGTATATAACCAATGCTGTTTTTCATTTCTCCACTCGTTTTGAGGAGAATAATCGGAAGCTTTTATGAATTTCAAAGTCCCCCCCTTACGTTTCCCCAAAAACTACCTACTCAATTTCGCTGGAACCATAACTTACATCATTTCTTGCAGTAGGAGTATCTGAATTTCCCTTGAAATCTGCAAGAAAACTGAACAGTAAATTATTTTACTTTAAATAAGCGTTTTACCTCTTCAGAACACCTGCTAAGACAGTAATATCGATTTCTTCAAGCGACTGGAATGCAGTTAATGCACAAATAAATAATTCATTTTTCAGATTTTTCAAACCTCTGCTACTTCAATGGGGATACCTGGTGATTACGCTGAGGTCACACTGGTAGAAGCATGGCAAACGTTGAGAACTATCAAGCAGAAGTACCAATCTGGAAAGTGATTTAAGTTTCATCTTGTAACCTGCTTGGCAGCTAGCAGTGGAATCCAGGACGCGCATTTCTTCCCAATTGAGTCTAGTCAGCTGCATGCACTTGCAGCCCAGTGAGTGATATTTTCCCCACTGGTACTCGTAAACATAATCCATCGGTTCAAACGCTGAAGTGTTATCACTAGATCATTGGGGCATGATATCAAATGCATAGGGGTAAAATGTTATAGAAATAACCACAAAATATTGAACCGAAAAATCCAATTAATCAAAACAATGTAACTCTAGTCTCCTGTAATTTCACAAGTGTTACTTAGATGGAACAAATTAGTCTTCGATTGACGACACTGGTAAAATCTAGAAACACTAAACCATGATAAAGCACTGATCTGATGCATTTAAGTAGACCAATTATTATGTTTACTAACTGCTTGATGCCCTCCAAGTTTTGAAGTTTGGTTTTAAATGTTTCATCACCAGGTTAAGCAACTTGATCAGCACTTACTTCATAAGTTAGTATTAAGTTTGTAGTCCGTTGAATCAAATTTCAGTGAAGTAATTCACTTCTACGCAAGATTCTACTGTGGTTTTTCTGCTTCTGTTCGAAGTAGAAATTGTTAACGCTTTACATACACTAGTTGGTTCTTCGAATAACAAAACTCTTAGAAATTATCATGCACTCATTTATTGAATTGAAAAACTTAAATTCTCCAAAAACCAGCTTCAATGAAGTCATCAAAAGTTAGTAAGACTGAATTAGTTTCCACCTAAAGTAGATTATTAATTTCTGGTATACACTCATGTGATGAGAAGGATATACTTGTCAACGTTACAAAGTTCAAAGTTTTGACCACAAAATCTGTAAATATTGCTCAAACAGATCAACCAAGTGTTCTACATACTTAAAACTCCGGGAACAATCAAAATACCAACATGGACAAGTACATGTGCCTGTGGATTGATGCTATTTCCTATATCTTACTGTGTCCTCCCTATCATTCATTCTTCTATGCTTGTTGATAAAATGAAGTTCATATTTCATGAGTCCGTATGCAACAGATAATCAGTACATCAATAATCTGTGTACGAAGTTTACAGTTCAGTTCACTTCGTTTTACTATAGTTTCCAAAACTCATTTACAAACAGGATATCTTGTGTTTATTTATTATTGAGTACAATATGAAACTGATTTTCGTATCAATGAAAGATATTTCAGCAGTACAGAAAGTGTCTTGATAGAATATGATGGGAAAGCAGTTGTCAAAAAACGTCCAATGCATGCACTTCCTTTGAAATGTGTTTATCTCATATAATCAGCATAGTAAAAGTGCTATTTATTTGATAGTTTTAATGTAGGGGAAGATTTCTTGAAACTTTTAGCCTGAACTTCTTCAAACTGGAGGCATCACAGATGAGACTATTCAGAAACTGACTGTTGAAGCTAGAAAGGTATGTCCATAAACTAACAAACCTGTTATTTATGTTTGTTTCAATGTAACACACATGAAGATCAGTCTTTTATGTGAATAAACGTAACGTATTCTCCAATATATTGAAAAATATGAAAGTTTAGCACAGTGAGATTTTAGTTATAATAACAGAAGAGTAATTTCGTTGAACTTCTATGTATTTAAAACATGAGTTCTGTTGTCCCAAGTGAGTATATACACAGGAACTCTAGTTTTCATAAGTCATATTATTGTTACTCACCTTGCACAGGTACAAACTCTTGCTAGTCTTGTAGAAGTACTTTGCACTTCGACTGAACAGAGTACATGTTATACTTATTGACACTGATTAAGTATGATATGATTAGTCTGTAGGTTGTCATACTGAAATGACGTCATTTGCATACTCATGACTAAAACGTCTTTCATCTAGTTGCAGATGAACACAGACATGGTGCTAATCCTTCAGATCTGTCTCATGAATGCCATCGCTAACAAAGTTACAGAGGAATAACAAGATGTGATGGACCTGTATACACCCACTTTTGCCTTGAAACAGTAGATGGGGGTGCTTATATGCTGCCGCTATACCTCAAGTCCTTTTGTACACGGTCTTCAACATTTTAACGACCACCTCAGAAACCCATCTTTAACAAGAAATGAGATAGCATATTTATGTTCAGCACGTCGGAGGTAGCCGTAATATGAAGGAGTGAGATGCTAACTGACCTGGTTTTCGTGTGGCGGTGCTTGAGCACCTAGTAGAATACTAACACGTGATTTATGCACTCATGACCTAAACAAAACTCGGCCTGCTCCTCATGGTTCAACCCCTCACTTCTTTTTTCAGAGCCTACAAAGTGCGGTAGGATGAAACATTGTACACACAACTGAAGAGTTCCAGCCAGTGTTTTTAGTTGTTTCACTCAAATCAAATATTGAGGATAAATGTTCTAAAAGGTTCGTATGCATCAGATATTGCAAAGTTGAACAGCCTCGCTGAAGTAATTGTTCAACGGCCTTAAAAGGTACAGACTGATAATAATTTTAGTCAGTGACTGAATGTTGAGCCAAAGATGAATGAACAAAGACAAATATGAGAATGATGACGACAGAACTATTTAGGTCATACGCTAAAATAATAGTGATGAAGCTACAATAAAATGAACAACTGAGTGACAATTTCGTCACATTACATTTAGTTGCTCACATGGAAGTTTTATAATCACTTAATATTGAAATGATGGGGAATATTTGTAGCTCAGATGGATGGTCTTGATTGTATTGTGTTCTCTCAGCTGGATTGTTTAATAGTGAAGCTTTCATCGTCTTTCTGGACAATACCATCGGCACTAACTCAGTATGAAATAAGCTGTCAGTATCTCTCCGTGAGTGATTTAGTAGCTTGCCATGACCAAGTGGTTTGGGATTGGTTGTTTCCTTCGGTTGTTGTGTCATTAACTGTATACACTTTCCTGTTGGCTGTTCCTCTGCTTCACCTCTGACCTTTCTGCCGTTTATCATTTTTCTCATTGGTTGGTAGATTGGGTCTATGTCTATACATCTATTGATTTCTGACTGACTGAACTGAGTGCCAAGCTTCCAGGAATTCTCTGACATTCTTAGTGTTCCCTCTCTACATCCAAAAATTCTACATTGTCGAAATTGAATTCATATCCATAATTACCCAGGTGCATTGAGACGAATGATGAATTGTCTTGACGTTTAATTGCCAACTGGTGTTCATATGGACGAAGGCGAACAGGGCGGCCACTTTGTCCAACGTAGTGTTGACTACAGCTATTGCAGTTGATTCTGTAAATGATATTCGGTTTGTCTTCTTTGGTTACTGCATCCTCTGGTGTGCATAATAGTATTTGGAGGGAATTTGTTGGTTTATGAGCCACACCATTTCCAAGTGGTCTCAGTAATCTTGTCGTGACTTCTGATATATTCTTTATGTATGGTAGTAGGATGATGCGTTTATTGATTTCTGTCGATGACTTTGTAGTTGATGATGGACGGTACAGGTATCTTCTGATAAAGTTTCTTGGGTAGCCGTTCTTTTTTAGGATGGACTTCAAGTAATTTTCGTTTCTCCGTAAAGTTGTACTGCATTGTGTCCTCGCTCTTTTGAACAGAGTCTGCATGCAACTAGTTTTAGGCGTTGTTGGGTTGCTGCTACTGTAGATGAGGATTTAATCAGTGTGTGTTGTCTTCGTGTACACTTGCGTCTCCAGGTTTCTGGCATTCGCCCTACTGACTAAAACATGCAGGAATGGTGGTTGGTTGTTTGACTCCTTCTCTATTGTGAATTCGATATCATGTCATGTCAAACTGTGGGTGTTTTCTATATCATCTTTTTTAATGATAACAAAAGTATAGTCCACATAGCGAATCCAAATTTTTGGTTTAATCACAGGTAGAGTGATGGCTTCCAGTCTCTGCATCACTGCTTCTGCAGTTAATCCGTATATCGGTGATCCCATTGAAGTTCCTTTCATCTGTTTGTATATCTTGCCACTGAATTGGAAGCATATCGTCAGACAAAGGTCACTGAGCTCCATCAAACTTGAACACCTGAGTTTTGTGTGTTCTGAAAGGTTTGTGTCTTCACTGAGCAAGAGGGACGTAGTTTTCTTGGCCAATTGATGTTCAGGGGATATATATAGTACTGTGACATCGACCATTAATTCATCGTTTTCTATGTTAATGCCTTTGATTTTTCCTAAGAATTCTCTTGGTGATTTGATGGAAAGTTCACATGATTGATTGGTTGAGGTGTTTCAGCTTTCTCGAAGGTCCTCTTGATAAGTTATATGTCGGAGTTCCTGGAAGTGAGTCTATTGGTGGTAGAGGGATGTCTGGTTTGTGGAGTTTTGGTCTGCCATAGAATCGAGGAAGGAGAGGTTTATTCGATTTCATTTGTTTTACTTTGTTATTTCTTCTGCTTTGAAGAGTTTGTTCAAGGTTTTATTGATGCGGTTGTCGAACTTTTGGATAGGGTTGGTTTCAAGTGATTCATATGCATTTTCGTCTTTGAGTAAATATTCTGCTTCCCTGATGCAGTATTCTTTGTCAATGACACCTTAGTGCGTCCTTTGTCCTCTGGAAGTATAGTGATAACTTTTTTATTTTCCAGTCTTTAATGCTTTCCTTTCTTGAGTGTTCATTCGAGCGTGATGTCTCTTCTGCCTGGTCAGTGATACGATTGTTTGCCATATTTCTTGTTGATCAATCAACATAGCTCAGAGAACACAATGCTATCAGGCACTAAATATTCTTCATCACAATTATTGTTTGGTGATTTTCATGAGTGCCGCAATAATGTCTAGGTGTGCAGACCGAAACTGGTATTCACGCCAAACACTTATAAATTGGAGCTACTCAACGCGCGGTTTTGTTCTTTATAAAGCAAGTGCAGTGGAGAACTAGATGAACGTTAAACATGCTATTGAGTGTAATGTACAAATTTATTCACTAACTTTTTTTGGCATGCAGCAAACAATTAGAGACAAATTGCAGCAATTATCTAATGCATTTTACATCATGAAATACATGTAATCTGGCTGAAACTAAATGGTTTAAAAACACATTTCCGACGAAAAAACTTATGATAATCTGAAGCTGACTAAGCTATGCCTCCAACATAAAATGTGAAGTAAGTTCCGTTATCAAAGGTGAATGGGTTCCTGGCGAACAGTAGACATACTACAGCGAGGCTCTTTACTGGTTGTTCGCCAGATACATTTTTCTATTAAAACTACGGATTTCTTTCCCACCCCCACAAAGTAACACGTATAAAACTAGCCTACAGCGAAATTTTGAGAGAACTTAACTTAGACATTAAAAACTCCATGTTATCTCAGAGGTTTACAGAAATATTCAGTTGAAACCTGAATGATTTTAGAAGTGTACACAAATGAGCTGATGAGGAGTTTGTGGGATAAAACACTCATGGGATACATAAGTTTAGTGTATTTGGATTGATTTCTTCTTTCATTTCATGAACATTGATGGTTTGGTTTACAGACACTAAAGGTACTTTTCTTCGGATATTTCCAGACAATTTGTCTCTTCAGACGCGCATTAGCCCTGTGTCTCAATGAGATTCAGTTTCAACTTCTTTCATAGCTAAAAGTCTTGGAGTGGAGTACGCGGTCGCTCGTGGGATTTTCAACCGTTTGATGAAAGAGCAAGTCATAAAAGGAGCAGGAACAAGAAGGTGAGTAATTTCCTCCGTGTTTGGCTTGGTTAAAAACAAACCGTTAATTTCTTTTCACAGCTTCCAGTAAATTGAGTTACCACAGTGTGAAGTGTACAAGTGTAAAGCAAAATGTCAGGTAATTTTCCAGAAAATCATCGTGAAAACAAATATATGAATTTGTGTATGAATTGCAACGACTTGTGATGCTGTTTGCCTTTTCACTTCGTACTTAAATGAAGATTGGTGTGTATGGACAGGTTGTATATTAAAATTATGCCGGTAAAACACACGAACGCGTAGGTTTGAAATTCGACAATAAAGTCAGTTATAATGTCAAATACCATGTACATGTAATTGACCTAGACGGTAAAATTCACTAGGCCTTCGGCATATTGTTTTATTCTATTTTAGAGGTGAAAAACTTGTTGAAAAGGAATACTTGGAAAGCATCGTATTGCCACGCTTTTTCAGTCGTATCAGTCTGAATGAAAAACCATTGGAAACTGCGGTAAGAAATAGTCGATAAAGCGGACATTTAGTTATTACTTTTGTCATGGAAAATCAATGAAATTGAGAGTATTCAATAATGTAATAACTGATATCACAAAATTCCAGCGTTTAATTCAGTCTTTGCATAAAGTTTGTCACTTATTAAATGCTTTCAATTATTTGCCAATTTGATTTCTTTTGAGAAATATACAATCACTAGTTGCCAATTGTTCACGGAAGACCGTCTTCATATTTTCAGGTGTCACCTCAACTGTCAACCCATCAACAATCAGCCACAATTCGACATACACCTGGAGTAAGTATTCTTTTCCTTGTGAGTAATTTGCTTCATGTTGATAGATATTTGGCGGCTTTAAGTGAACAGTCTACGATATGATTTGTAGTTTCAAAAGCTTTTGCAAATATCAAATAAAATGGTTACATCTAAATTGAAGTGCTTGGTATACTGTTAGCTGGATATATTTTAAGCGTAAAATTGCGTCGACAGATAGTGATTGTTTTCAATCTATCTACAGCCATATGATATTCACTTTTGACTGACTTGCAAGGCTACCTTAACAATCTCACCTAACAAATTTATCATGTACTCCGTGTTATTATTATGATAAAAACGAATAAATAAATGAAATAACCAACTAGGTATCATTATATCAAGTGACTTTAAAGGTCATACTAACACAATGACTGAAACAGACAATTAGATTTCTGTTTCCATTCGAAATGAAGATTTTTATAAAATAAAGAAGTCCAGTCGGTTACTTCAGTTTTGTTCGAGTGACCTTGAAATCCACTCATTATTTCAGCTGAAAACAATTTCTCTTTGAAACTCACGTAGATTGATATTAAATTTGACAATGTAGTCAAACTGGATCAATGTAGGTAACCATTTTTGGATGTCACACATACACTGGTACCAGAAATACATCTTAATCAAGATATTAAAGCGTTCTACAACACCACTTCTACCATGAAAGGTATTCTGTGTTACAAAGCTACACACGTTTTTAGATCAAGCATTTCTCTGGAATGTCACGAAAAATCTTTATCACACTTTAAAAACTCTGCATCACCCATCACTTTTTACTCAACATGGAGGAATTGCAAACTTGTATTTAGTACTGATAAGCACTTAGGGATTGGAATACTTAGTCTTGTTTCACAGGAGCCGAAAATTGGTAATTCAAAATGCTTACTTCGGTACCAGCAGATGTGACACCCAAGGTCTTTGGACGGACTAGACAGAGGGTCTTCCGGATAAATTTAGTTCATAATCTTCATTTGAGAAAACTGCATGCAATCAATTACTTCAGTGTGACCTGCTTTTTTCTGACGGGTATTTATCCAAGCTAAATCATCTGACATGTTATCACGGTCGCTCCTGGAATATATTTCACAATGAAATTATTGAATGCTTGTGACAAGCGGCAGTGTTCAAGAACCCGCTTTCCTTATACCTGAGATTAGTAATAAGAAACTGCTATAATACACAACACCTTTAGGGACAAACCGATATTGTAATCCACTGATACTCGATCTGGGCATTAGTTGAGACATCAACGCCCACTAGAGTACAGACACAAACAGTTAATAAGTCCTGAAAGTAAATCTCAAATTCTAGTCTTGGTCACTACCACTAAACATATTTGACTTCTTTTCGACTAAGACATTATTTAAGTGAACTTTATGTACCAGCCAAATGACAGATACTTTATTCATACTATTTTTTTACACTACCAAGAATCTTTGTCTTATCTTGCATTGCGTGAAAACGACAGAAATCTCAAAACGTAGGAGGAATTTTTACTTGTTGTAATATCTGTTATGTCTTTTTAGAAACGCACGCAGGATAGTATTTCCAAATCGAGTGCGGAGAAGGAGTTTGAAGAAGTAAGTCAGTCATCGATGACGTTCTCAAAACACCAAGTCTTTGTCTTTTTCGAGTACGCTAAAAAAGTGAAGGAGATGACAATTTCCACATCATGATAAGACACTTATCTGAACACTTCAGCTTTGTCAATGGAGTGACCAAGTGATACTCGAATATAATTAACTAAGTAATGATACTGAAGTCGAAACTACTCGAACTGCGCACGAATAACGACTGCTCGCCCCCTATCCAGTACTCATACTTCACTGAATCGCGAAGTCTTAGGAGACAAAGCCTGGTATGTGACTATGAGAAGTAGATTTACATAAATGAATCATATGTATATAATATGCATTATATACGTTAATAAAAAGACCAAACAACCTTAGTCTTATTGTTCAGCTGAAAACCAGTCCACCCACTAAGGTCCTTCTGACCACACAGCAGCATAGATCAGAAACTTCTCACTCAATGCCCATCGACTTAAAATGGTGATTATGTTTCTGTGCACTTGCTAAAACCTAAGTTGAGGAAATCTCACGTGTCTAATTATCTTTCTCTCAATAAGGTTGGAATAATCAAAACCTCTTATTATGACTATACATTATAATTAATATAGTTCTTCAATCAAATCTGATACAACTCGGAAAGATCAGTACAACGAGAATGATTATTCCAAAGTCTCGGACAACACGAAATTTTAAGCAGCCATTTGACCAACAGAGGTTATCAAAACCCAGTGGATTCACATTCCTGTTTCCACCAAATAAACAGTCTCATTTGGCCTGTTGTTGCCAATTTTTGTAATCAGTTGAGGTAAAATGTTTGATTGCACGATCATTTGCAACTCCACTAAATTTTGTATTAGTTCAGAAAAACTACCGTCACAGTACTGAAAGTGATGTACACTTCTGATGTCAAGCGTCTACATTTATTAAAACCTGTTAATAACATGAAACTTTGTATACTGTCCTAGTCGATTAGTTCCATACTGTGCAGTATTACTGCAAACAAACGAAATTGTAGTAATTCATATGGCAAAAAGGTTGGATTTTATTCTCTGTTTCATTTTCAGTTGATCAACGCAAGTCAAGACTCAACGGTATCACCAATATCACATAAAATAAGAAAAATGCATTTGGCAAATACACCTATTGGCGTACTTCCCCAGTGAACATCTGTTTTCTCAAGTTGTTTTGCTTTCAAACTGAAATCATACTAGCATGTTGTCTCATTTTTAAGACTGTGAAGTTTACATAATGATTTTACAGTTTAATAAAGATTGCACAATGCGCAAACAAGCTTCTCAATTCGATATATTTGCATAGATAAGCCAGACCAACAGGGAGTCCATGGTAGTTATTATGAGAGTACTGCAATCTTGTGATAACTGACAATAATTGGAGTGCCAACAAAGTATATTATTCTTTTATGATTCCGCCTCTTCACCTCATATAAGAGGATTATGTATTGTGTATCATATGAAGATGCAGCAACCAGGTGTTGTCAGACGTGTTCAATCTACCTACTCGTGTTCAATTTTGTAAGGGATGTAATGGTGCAGGTGTTTGGTAACCTTATACTTTCTGGAAATTGATTCCTAATGCAGAAATCTAATTTAAATTAAAATACAAAGACTACACATTTTAATTTACTGAAAACTGACAGTTTCAAAGGTCTAAAGGTTCGATATGTTTTGCTTGTATAAGACGTGCAACACTTTGGAACCAATGTGTTGCGGCAGGTGGTCAGAAACTAAAGGCAACTTGATGTATTATGTAGTTTCAAACCGAATGAGCAATGCTGAGATTAGGTGCAGGGTTTAAAAGCAAGGATAATTTATCAGCATATGACGTAATAGGTCTGGACATAATGTAGATAGGTCATTCTGTGTTGTTCGTTTTAAACTAGCGATTGAAATGAACTTGGCTATGATAAGGCTGGGTTTGGAAGAAACTAAGAACGGTCGAAACCAAGCTAAATCAATTCATTCAGTCACTGAGCTTTGGTGTTATCTGTGTAAATGTTCGTGATTGACCTCTCTAGATACGAATACTAATAGAGTGTTTTTAGCTGATAATACTTGTTTGATAACTTTAATGACGCTGCTATCTACCGTTCAAAACAACATTCGTTGGTAACCTCCAAGTACTCATCATAGACTGACATCAGTTGTAGGAACATTGGAGAAAAAAACTAGTTCTAATTGGTGAGTAGCTCCTAGGGGCTATTCCTGAAGATCAAATTAGACGCCCTGATAGGTGGCGCAAAACTGGAGCCAACAGGTCAAATAATAAACCATGAAATTGGCTGATGGTCGCGATATCTTGGGAAAACACAGAAGCTGAAAATATCGACCATTGCACTACAACCACGAAACTCAATGGTAAACTCCTCGATATTAATGTTCTCCTATAACTTCCTTGTGGATGAGTATGCTTATGACAAAGTAGAGACACTGGAAGAGCATAAGACTGCCTTCAGAGATTTGCAGAATGTGCCGAACGAGAATGATGAATGAAGCTTCAAACCTGGCTTTCCTACCACTCCCCACACTCCAAGCAATTCTCCTTCCTCGACCGTTTCGTACAAACACGTAAGCATGCTACTCAAAAGTTGTCCCCACAACAATCACTACGATTCACAATACGCTAGATTTGCAAAATATGAATACTGCCTTATCACTCCGTGAAATCTCCACCTGATACATCATCATTCGGCAAGACCGGTAGACAAACTCGTGAAAAATCTGTGAAGTCGTCTTGGGTCAAGGTATACTTGAAACCACAAGCACATATTCGACTGGGACAACTTCGAAATACTCAAACGTGCAGACCTGAAAACAGGCCGAGTATTCTTGGAGGCATGGCACTTCAGCAAATTAGCAATCGGTCGCCACATCGACCTGCTCACGATGGACGCGCCCTCCAGAAACAAATCAATTACGCGAATCAACGCAACCGCGAAGAGATCATCAACCAACCGGATGAAGATGACTCATGCACAAAGCGAATCGCCCTCTCCAGTAAGATATTTAGGCAAACAGCAGTGGTGAAGAACACCCTTTCACTTGGCGTGAATTGCTGCAAGCAATGGAAGAAGTTTAGCAGCCAAAATGTTTAAGGTTTACAGGGGTGTGTGGTGTTAACTAAGGTGTCAACATTTAAAAAATCGAGCCTCGTTTGGTCACTTATTTAGTCACCGTGGTATATTTGCGACGTAACGATATTTTAACACATTCGCTAAGATTTGTGAGCGTCGCTCAACATAGCATAGAAACTGAATGAATGTGATCAATTTGAAATAATTTGCTTCCCTAGATTAATTTCGAGTAGACAAAAAGAAGACGTAACCTGTCTGAATCACGAGTTGAGTAACATAACGAAATATTGATGAGCAAGTTGTCATCAAGGTGCGTATTAATATTATTATTGTTATTATTATCATTATTTGTCCCTTGGCTTCCTAGTGGAACATAGGGCTTCAGCAGCACGTCTCCAGTGCACTCTGTTCTCTGCAAACTTTCGAAGTTGGCTCCACCACTGCCCACAAGCTCTCATTTCTTCCTCACACGATCTCCACGTCACCCTCGCCTCGGACACCCAACTCGTCGCTTCCCATCGGGGTTCCACTCGAGCAACTGGCCTGGCGCGTGATGTCCCTAAATGGTCTTCTCAGTGCATGCCCAATCCATCTCCACTTTCTTCTGCATATTTGTTGAGCGATAGGTTCTTGGTTGGTTCGTTGCCAGAGTTCCTTGTTGCTGATTCTTATTATTCTGGCCATCTGATCTTCGGTAACGAGTCAGCGTAGGCAGTTGTTGGTGAATATCTGTAGTTTGCTGGAAATACCTCTCGTAACGCGCCAAGTCTGTGAGCAATACAGAAGCACTGACTTGACACTGGTGTTGAAAATCTGGATCTTATTCTTTACGCTGAGTGCAATAGATCTCCACACTGGTTTCAAGTCAATGAACGCCTGTCTTGCTGGCTTTCCGATCATGGTTTTGACATCCTCATCTGTGCCGCCGCCTGTAGTTGAAACGATGCTGCCTAGATAGGTGAAAGAGACCACCTCCTTTAAGTTTCTCTCGTTAATGGTGATTGGTGCTTGTTGTTGTTGTTGGTTGGGTATCTTCACCACCTCTACCTCTGTCTTCTCTATATTCACTTGAAGTCCCGTTTTCGCTGCCCTGCCTCTTCTGCCAACTTGTTAGTTTTCGCCTGTAGATCTTCGAGTTTGTGCGATATTAGACAAAAATCATCATCGGTGAAATCCAAATCTCCTAGGGTCTTTTCATCGGTTCAGCGTATACCCGTCTTCTCGCTCCTCACAGCTTACCGCATGATCCAGTCGACCACAATCACGAAGATCATCGGTGATAGTAGGCAACCTTCTCTTACTCATGTCCCCTGTCTTCACTTCAAAGGCATCACTGAGCTTTCCATTTTGAATCACTTGGCTTGTGACATCTTCGTATAGCTGTTGAATGAGGTTGATAAAGGTTTTGGTATTCCGTAGTGTTGAAGCAGCTGCCTGCCAAATTACTTCTCGGTCGACGCCGTCGAAGGCCTTTTCAAAGTCGATGAATTTGAGTTAGCGAGTTGACTGCCATTCTACACTTTGTTCTTTGATGATGCGTAGCGTTGCGTTGTAATTTGATCCGCACGTGACTTGTTCTTCCTGAAGCCAGCCTGTTCCGGTCGCAATTTTGAATCCAGGTCATCCTTTAGTTTCTCCAGGATGATGCGGCTCAATATTTTGCTTGCGGTGGGTAAGAGTGTGATTCCGCGCCAGTTCTTGCAAACACTTAGGTCGCCCTCCTTCCAGTCGCCACGTACTTCTCCTTCCTTCCAGACCTTCTGCAGTAGTGGTGTGAGCATGTCTTCTGTTGTCTCTGAGTCTGTTTTCAATGCTTCTGGTGGAATTCCATCTGGTCCTGATGCTTTCCTGAGTTTCGGCAGTTTTATGGCATTCAGAACTTCAACTTTCATCGGAGGGCTTGTGTTCACTGGTAGTTCTGTGTCTGGGCTGCAGGTGGTATTTTCGGAAGAAGTGCAGGTGGTGGTCGATTCAAGAGATTTTGAAGTAGTCAGCCCATCGTTCCCTTTGTTTCTCTTCTTTGGTAACTGGCTTTCCTTCACCATCTTTCATTGGTTTCATCTGTGTTGATCTCTTTCTAGATAGTAACCTGGTTATTTGATACAATGTTGTCAGGTCTCTCCTACCAGCAGCAGCCTGTTCTGCTTCACTTGCCAGTGTATCATGGAAGTATCTTTTGTCTTTGCACACACTCTTCTTCACTTCTCTATCCATTGTAGTGTCTTTTAGGTTGTGTTCAGTTCCTCTTTTTGTTGTGCATCCGTGCACTGATTTATTTTCTGCTTCACCATCCTCCTCTCCTCTATCAGTTTCCATGTGTCCGTTGAGATCCATTGCTTGTCTTGCATCTTCTTTCTTCCTAACACGGCTACGCAGGTTTATTTCCACATCTCTTCAAAGAGTTCCAGTGTTCTTCCACGCTTGTTCCTTCTGGGATGTTGCTCAATGTCTCCCATTTTGTCCTGATGACTGACTAACGTGAAGATGTCCTTTGTAATTTCTTCCTTCAGTTCATTTTCTGTTCTGGGTAGTGAACATGAACTGTGGTCTATCACCAACTTCTTTGAAGGCTTTTAACTTGATTTTGAAGGTTCATTGCACTAGATAGTGAGTGGTCTGAACCTACATCTGCTCCTCTTCTTGATCTGATCTTGTGTCCAGTAGGCTGCGTCTCCATTTTCTTCATATTGGGATGAAGTCGCTCTGATTTTTAGTGTGTCCATCTGGTGAAATCGAATCCATGTCGCTTTGTGAGTATCCTTGTGTTTGTACACACTGCCTCCAATCACCAAACCATTCAATGCTCAGAAGTCTCCAAACAGTTCTCTATTCTCGTTCATTTCACTGGGTGCTTCTCGACCCATGATCAGTCCTCTTCCTGTGTTGTCCCCTCCCAGTTTGACATTCATGTCGCCCATTAAAATTTTGATGTCGCCAACTGGAGTCTTGTTCAGTACTGTTTTCAGTTGTCCGTAGAATTCCTTCTTCTTCTCTTGATCTGCATTATTTGTTGGCGCGTAGCATTGAATGATTGTGACTTTCCTTCCTTTTGAGTTGAATCTTCTTATGATG